CTGAGTTCAATAAATCTTTAATAATAATATATTATTCTTTAGTATCTCGATTGCATATTTTCTACAACAACTCCAAAAACTAAATAGAAAATAAGTTTGAATATTTAAAATTTTTGAAGTATTAAAAGTTTGTTATATTAATTTTAAAATATAATTTTAATGTAATAATTGATTATATAACAATAAAGTTATGTTCTTTTAAGGTATTTTTATGATTCCATTTATTTTTTGCAAGAAATAAAAATGAGAATTTTTTAGTTATGTCGTTTTTGTAATAAATGAGCGATATGTACATTTACGTGGTAGTATTTACGCGATTCTAAAATATAATTTTACAATGGCAATAATATGTTATAATATTTTTTTAATGGCACCCTGTGTAGGTGAGTAGTTTACTTATCTGTACGTCGATATGAGCATAGGGGTGACTCGGCGTGGTCGCTATATGGTTAATTATAATGCACGATGCACCGCAGAGTCTTCTACCTATGGGAGGAACTCCGCGAAGGGAAGCAGCTGGTTTATAGTTTTAATGGCTGTCATCCTAGCTGGTCATTTCGATAATAGTAACTAATACGATGCCTCTCTCAAACACGAAACCATGCCTGCGTTAAATTGAATATTGACGAAATGTCGCTTCATAAATGGATTTTCGGCCGTTACATATTGCAACGGATGATTAGCATCGATCATATGATTGAGAGGAAATTATCGAAACATGTAAATTAAATTTTTTATGAATGTATGTGTTCCGAAAATTTTACATCAAATTTCTTATCTAACTTAATTTAAGATTGTGTCACATCTCAAAATATTATCAAAAATATAAAAATATCATAAAGTGAGTTACATATTATTACATCTGAGTATCTATGTCTAATTTGAGCATAATTCTCTTATTGGTTTAAAAGTTATTTAATTTTTTTTATTCTCATCCCAATTCTAAAATCACAATGATAAGATACCTATTTATAAATGAGGATGTAGCATCGTGAATAAAATTTTTTTTTATATATTAATAAAATCCTAATAAATATTTATGTAAAAATTTATTTGAACATAATTATTTGTTTAAAGTTGCAGCAAGATATTGTATTACATAAACCATTAAAAGCCAAATTATTTACTGTTTGATTTTTTGCAGAGGACTAACAAGTAGAGTCAAAGGTAATTCCGTAATCATATTTATTAATTGACAAATATATTTGAAACTGTTTAAAGAAATCGACACCCATGTTTGCTAATTGACCTCATAATTTATTATATTATTGTAATGTGATCCAAATAAATTAATTTGTTTTCTATTTCTTAATTTATAATTAGAAGTTATAAATAATATATTGCCCCGAATTCTGTATGTGATATATCAACTAAAAAATTTAAGCCGTTCATGACTTTAAATTTTAAAACTTCTCTTACTCCATCAATAGAAGGACACCAGGTGTGCTGTTGAATGTACACTTAATGAGTGTCTATCGCTGATACACGTGTAATTCACCCTATCGTACATTTAATTGATTGAATTAGCTATAGAATCAGTTTGGATCGCGACAGCACCTGATTGTAACAGTCCCGGCTGATCGATTTTGATGAATCGCTTGCGATCGCGACAGAATGATCTATCAAACAATTTTTTCTGCTGTACAAAGCTATAAATCAATTTTTTTAGCTTTTTTTATGCTTTTATTATTTGATCGGATAATGGATCGCATATTTTATTATTGATGAATCAAATAAAAGATTTCAATCCAAGGTATATAGAAAAACTTTCTTTTTTTAATATTTTAAACGTACCGCAAAAACCGATACCTAAAATATTTTGTAGATATATTCTGACTCATCTGAGAATAAAAGGATTGCATTTTCTCATTCATCTTGAAAATGTCATAAATTACTATAATCGCGTTAAACAACATGATAAATTGCCAATGATTATTTATATTCAATCTTTTGCAAAGTGTATCTACCGCAACAAATCGATATCGAAAACTTTAACGGTTCGTTCCTGCTCCCGTGAAAAACTTCAACTGTCGTCCAGGCAAACTGGTGGCAAGAAAACGTGTGTCAGCAACGGCGATAAATTGCGATCTTTACGGTGAATCGGGGCGGTCCTAAATGAGAGGGGTAAACGTCCGATCGAGGATCACTAAACGATGTCCACAATGGCCAAAACGAACTCGCCCAGTAGCATTTCACTTTCTAACGGCAACAACACGCGTGTCT